CTTACCAGGCCTCTGGGAGCTGTGCTGCAGGAGGCCTCCCAGGCACAGGTGTCACACGACGGGCATGGCGCTGCAGGGGACTGTGAGGTCATTTCTGTCTTTGACACCGCATTGTGGGGAGCGGCCCTTCAAATACTCATGTATCATATTAAAATCTAAACAACGAAGAAAGATGCTAAAGATCAGCTTTGACTGAGTGCTTTGAGGTGGGAGAGAGGAGAAGAATGTCCTCATCAACTGATTTTGTTGTTAACTGGAGCTATCCAGGAATTAAGAAAATCCACTCTGGCTTAAGACTTGAGTGCAAGGAGAGTGCTAAGTCTGACAGTCATAGAATCTTAAGGCTGAATAAAAGTATGAAGGAAATCTAAGCTGATGCACTATTTTTTCAGCCAAGTTTTATTACCCTATGAACCTAATAAAAGGCCATGGATCTATAGAAGAACTATCTAGAAAAGGAAATAGCTGCTCAATCCAAATCCATCAGTTCCTGGGACACTGCTTTCACCTGGACGGGAGACAGTGTGGTGAGTGGCCCACAACTGCTGGGCTGTCTGGAGAGGGAGACTCATTACAAACAGCCTCCGAAGCATTGTGGCTGCTTCAGTGACATGTGTTTGTGGTTGCAGACAACTGGACTAAGAATTCAGATTCTCATATCTACATAAGCATGTATGAAATTCATATATTGATGCAATCCAGCAGGGACGGTTGGTAATGGCATGTCCACCTCTGCCAGGAATTAGCTGTATTGCCAGAGTCCAGTGGCACTGTAATATCCAGCAAGAAACTGCAAAAACTGAAATGATAGCAGCGTCTTGCTTCCCAGCAAACACAATAAATCCTGCACTCGGTTGGGCAACTTGTTTTTTTCCAGCCCAGAATTATGATATTCCTGAATCTCTAAACGCTCGCAAGCTCAGAGTCGCTAGATGCTCATTTCACTAGTTCTAAATGGCTGCAGAACGCCTTCCAAAGTGGGAAGGGGAGAGTGTCATCCCCGCCCACATGAGTCTAGCTCCCCAGGAGGTAATTCAAGCTAATTATAGTGATGTAAGGCAGGGTTTCAAATAGAAGGACTATCAGAATTGCAGCACTGCACTATGGGAAGGTGTGGGGGAAATCTCTCACTCTGCAGGGTTGTTAAAAGGATCAAATAAAATAATGCTCATGAAACAAGTCTTTGTCAATGATAAAACATCATCATATGCATACCAGGTTTCACCATTGTTACTCTTCCTAGGAGCCTGCAACATTTGGTTATTCATTTGATGACTCTATTAAGGGCCTACTTTGTGCCACACAATATGCTTGAGGTGCTTTAGAAATAAGACCTAATTTATGCCCTAGAGACATTTAGAAAGACATATAATATAAAGTCATGACTCAGGCAATTTAAAGATGCCACTAAAATGTCTAGACACACCGGTGAGATAGTGAGTCATCCACTGTGTACCACGGTGCATACTTCAATCTCATTCTGCTGCTTCGCCAAGGTTTTCTTTTTAAAAAAGTACCATTTCCTTTGGCAACCGAGGTGCTCTGAGCTCTAACACTATGCTATCAGAAATAGAGCCAGCCAGGCTGAAGCATACTCAGCGGGACTCATTTCAAAGTTAACTTGCTATATCTTCTGAGTGATCCTCTCCTCTTTCCCCAGCCATTGGTTCTACCAGCTGACAGCAGCACACCTGTATGGAGGGATGGGTGAGGAAGGGTGAGGAGTGTGCAGATGGGGGCAGGAGTAGGGAGGTGGGGTGGAATGTCATTGCAGTCCAAGGCTTGAGGTAAATTTTGCCACCACAGAGCTGAATTTCTGTGGCAATCCAAGAAAAGTTGCTTATCTCTGTTTTTCAATTTTTAACCTTGGGGCTTTGTTCCTACATACATATCTCAGTGACCATTAAATTCTTAGCATCTTAACTGGTGAGTTGCATCTAAAGAAACATGAGAAGTCATTGCCAAAGTCCACGACAGGAAGAGTATCTAGTATTCGCTAGGAAGCAGGAGTAACCTGGAACCAGTCCCCAGGTGACTGGTAGAAGTCTGGGGCATCATTAGATCAACAGCGGAACTTGAGACACAAAGGCTTGTCTCTTTCAGTTCTCCTCATCCAAATAAACGGGATAAGCTCTAAGCAGCAAAGCTCAGAGTCTTAACACAGATCACAGATATCCAGAGAATATGAGAATTCTGGGAAGATTTAGATGCTTTCCCCACTGGGTCACCCTTGCTTATCCTCCTCTTACCTTTGCTGTTGGACAACTTTTGTTGTTCAGTGAGCCCAGTTTCTTGCCTGCCTGATCACCACAAGCCTTGGGCCCTAAGCCCACTCCTGTTGTTCTGTTTGGCCAGGAGCCAGGTGGCCGGCAGACGCATCTCTCCTGTGATGGAAATGTTGCTTCCCAGCTCACTCCTCCTCCGCTTGGGAAGGCATGAGTCAGTCCCTCCCACCAACACAGACTGTCCTTGGGGGTCACATGTCTGTCTTTTCTGCATAACCAACTCCAGTCACAAGTTCTGCTTACTGCAAGGTCATAAGTGGTGGGGAGGTTGGATCTCTCCGGCAGCAGGGCTGGAGAAGGGGACTCTGCTCCATGACAGGCCAGTCAGCTCTGTGCGATCAGAACTGGTGACCACAACAGACCTATATTACCATATTTAATCTTTACAGCAACCCTGGGAAATAGGCTGATGTCATTCATTCAATCATCCAACAAATGCTAGTGAATGTCTGCTGTGTGTCTGGCATAATTTAAAGGGGGTGGCATACATCAGTACAAAGATCTCTGTTTGTTCAGAGATGGGAGGGCAGTGAGAGATTTAAACATTTTTAGATGCATGAAAATTATATTTTCTGGGCTCCTTCACCCTGTTCTGCATACCTCCTACATCTGGACATTCACGCAACAGTTGTTAAGAAGACACTATGTTCCAAGCACTGTGCTGGGCACTGGGGGTACCCAGTGTCCCCTATCCCCCAGGTGCAGTCTAGGTGAGGGGGAGAGCTGCACCTGCACATGCAGAGTAAGATGCGGTGGGCATACTGCAGCTGAGGCATATGCAGGGAGGCAGGGTGGCTCACTCAGGACCCAGCAGCCCCATCCTCCCAGCTGCAGCCCACCCCAGGCTGCCTCTTTTCCTGTTCTCTTCCTTTCCTGCCACTGAGCACACTCCCCTGGGCTGCCCTGTGCACCCCAGCCCTCATATGTTTCTTTTGAGTCCGACTCAGGGGAAGTCCTGCTGACATGGTGAGTAGATTCACTGGAATACTAGTGTTCGCTTGCTCTTTCAGAGGAGCTATGCATATTTTAACTGGCTTTGAACACCACCTTGCAAGGAAGGGAGCTGGTTTCACTGGGGGGCATCTTTCCTGGTAGCAGACCAGGGAAGGGGAGACTGGGGGAGGCCAGACCCCTCATGTCACAGCCACAGGCCCCTGTCTACTCCCCCTCTCGTCTTTGGGACCTTCATCTCTCATTCAAAACAGTTCTGGCACCTGGATTGCCTTTTGCCCACGTGCCTTTGGAGTCAAGATATTTTTAGAGCTCAAAACTTCCTCAAATGTCTTCTAGTTCTGGGAGTTTCAACTGGTGATTAAGGGGATTTTAGCAGTGGATTCATGCATGGCCTTTAGGGTTTGAAGACTTTTGAAATTCTCTGCTGACTTCTGTACAGAAACGCTTAGGTGGGTTTTTCCTCCTGAAGACAAGGTCTATAGTTTCCATCAGATTCTTAAATCTGTTGGAGACTCAGAAAAGATGGCCATATTCTGGTGATGTTCTTGGGTCTCCTCAGAGAAGTGGAGTGACTGAGTCCCCTCATTTACTGTGGGAGGGAATAGAGGTGGAAGGAGGAGTGGAGGGGATCCAGGAGGTGTCAGCACAGAAACTGGAACTCAGTTTCTTGTTGTCCACACCTGTGCTCTGCTCCTTGCAGCCCCTCCACTGCACAGGGCTTCAGGTCTTTTGTCCGGGACCTGTCACAGCTGTGTCATGAACCCTAGCCAGGTCAGCTCCCTGCCCCGATAGAGTAAGAACTCTTTATGGCAGCAGGTTTAAGGAGCCGGGGGAGGTCCCTGCTCTATCATATAGCTCTGAATTTACTATTGGTCATTACTTTAAAGAGAAAAATGTTAAGCTTTTGGAGTTATCTGTCCCTAGAGACATCATGCATTGCCTGGGTATCTGTAGAGAAACCTGTCTAATTGAAGAGAATAGCATGACCTGCGCGGCTATCCTTCCAAGCATCAAACTTTGGAGACACCAATCACCTGAATGAGTCAGATTCCACATATAGACCCTTCTGGGTCCCTTCACTCAAGGCAGAAACCCCTGGCGTGTTTGAGGACCAAAAATCTGGGATGAGTTTTGTTATCAACACCCAAGGTAGGTTATCAGGGGAAACCAAAAGATACACATTCTCCTAGTCTGTTGAAGGCCTAGGTTAGGAGATATTTGTCCAGGGAGAGGGAAAGGAACAAAACAGGCTGGAATTCCAGAGTGATCCAGAAAACAGCAGCGCCTTTTATTCCGTCCATTACTATGCACTAGACTCTGACCCAGGACAGGACTGGTTTCTCCCAAAGAAGGGCTGCAGGAAAACAGGCTCCCAAACAAGTCCTGCAGGCTAGAGGTGATGAGAAGTTCGTGTGAGATAGGAAAAAGAGCACTGGGACAGGAGTCAGTAGACCTTAGCTCAAGACTTGGCATCCCTACAAAATACCAGGGTGATTTTGGGCCAGTCACTGCCTGCTCTGTTGTTCTGTTGTCTTTTCTGCCTAAAAAAAGGGCATGAGAGCTTTGGGTTGTATAACTTGTAGGGTCCCTCTCAGGGTGAACATCCTTCTAGCTCATTTGTTCATTCTGTTCTATAGGCCCCTGTGGCATGCCAGGTTTGTGTGTGATGGCTCTGGCTTATTTGAAGGCATAAACATGGCCAGAGCATCCCCCAGATTCCCCCAGCCCCAGGAGTCAGGAGGGTTTGGTTGCCAGACTCACCAGCAGGAATACGGACACCTCTTGCTGTAGCGACAGCAGTAAAACTGCCACTCCCGGTCCAGCACTGACTCGAAGTAGCGGCTCTGGAACCCTGCCACCAGCCCATTGTTGGAGCATGTCTGGTACCTAAGAGAAAAGAGCAAGCCCAGGAACCTCAGGACAGCGACACATAAACAGACTCCTTCCCAAGACCCCCCTGCCACAGACTCTTCCCTGACCTAGATTCCTAACAATTTATTCCATCTTCATGCAAATAATAAAGTCTTTGTCATAGTTGTAGAAATAACATATGTTCTCCATTAAAATTCAAATGACTCGGAGTCTTTTCACTGAAGGAAATTTGGGGGAACACTGCTCCTGACATATCTAGTTGGATGGAAGGACGTGTAAATGGATAAAATAGAATTTTACCAATGCAGGACTATATTATTCATACTGTTTAGAAGAAAAGATAATATAATTCATTTTATTTGAATTAAAAAAAGACAAAAAGAAACACAATAAATTGAAGAACTTCAAATGAATATTTCTTCTGCTTAAAAGTAGAACCCTGGGAATTAAGCACAAGGATGACCATTTGCCCCTATCCCTGCATAGCACACAAAGCCTGGATGGGTACAATAACTTGTCAAACACAACTCAGTGAGGAAGTTGGGAGCACACGTTGGCTTCTCACTACTTATTCAAGAATCTTTCTATCACCCTCTAGACCATAAGCTCCACATGGTCAGGGCTAAGAATTCTATCCCTGAGGGTCCTGGCTACTGAAACTCTCCCTACAGAGTTGAAACACACCCACTGAATGCCTCAAACACCCTCAAAGGGTGTTTTCAGAAAAGAGAAGAGATAAAGTGAAAACAGGTACCCTGTGCTGACTGGTAAGAGAGACCTTGCTGACCCACAAGCTATCACACTTTTGGCAACTGGGTTTCACTTATTCTTTTGCATTGCTGAAAATGAACCTGTGGGTCTTTCAAAACAAGATATTACACGTATTGCATGGCTCTGATTAGGAAGCAGCTGTTCTTTTCATTTATTTATTATTCATTCACGCATATATACATTCAAATACACATTCAATCATTCACTTATTCAATACTACTATGATTGTGTATCAATCACTTTGCTAATGTATTAAGAGAAGAATTGAGAGATGGGCTTGATGCTTGGTCAACCATGCAAATTAGCTGGAATTTCCTGTTTCCCAGACTTATAAGACATTCCCAATAGACTATAGAACTCAGGTACAGGAAATCTAGAATGCAAATGAAGATTTGATTGAGACCTATGACCCTAGTTTTCATTGTTCCACCATTACTCACAACTCATCAGGATTATTACCACTTTGTAAATACCTGACACAGTTCAAGGGCCTATATGATTAGAATGGACAAGCATAACGGGATGGTAGAAAGATAGCTTTGGGGATCGATCTTCCCGGATGGTCTGCTCTTTCCTAACTCCTAGCAATGTGGGTGAGAGGTGACATCAATGAAAAACTCTGAGAGTCTTAAGCAAAGCTCATATACTTCCAAAGAGAGGTGCAGCAAGCTGAGGCCTTCTGTGACTTTCTCTCGTAACAGCACAAAATGTCGCCTCCCTCTAAATTGGGCCTTTGAGGAATGAACTGGCTGAGGGTTCCCTGGAGCTATTGTTTTACTGTTTTGCTTTGTCTTGTGCACTCAGATCCCTGCAGGGGACAGAGCTCCCATGGTGGTAAGTTACCCTAAGTAAAAATAAGTGTAGGAAGATAAGTGGACCTGTTTTGTGGAGTACCCGCTCTGAAGGCAATCCAAGTTCCATGAATTCCCTGCCAGCTGTCAGCCAGGCTGCTGTCCCACCGCCCAGTAGGAAGCGTGTGTGTCACTTTCTCACACGCCACCTCGGATAATGCCGCCCTGTGAAGATTATTTGGACCCTACGGGCTCAGAGCCTAAGAACATATGGTGAAAGTTAGATATTTGAACATGGCCCTCCTCCCGCAGCTTTGGTTGCACTACCTTCACATTTTGGTTGAGTGAGGCTGCTTGGGGGTTTGGTAGAGTGAACTCACTCCTTCTAGATCTAGATCTTTTTAGGGGTCCACCTTCACACTGTGGAAAGCAGATAGCAGAGTGATTAAGAGCCTGGGCTAGGCTGCTGGACTGCTGCCCTACAGCTCTTAGTTGTGTCACCTTGAGTAGGCCTCACACCCTCCAATGGTCTCAGTTTCCTGATCTGTAAAATGGACATAATAGTCACACATACTTATTAAAGTTATTGTGCAGTCCAAATAAAACAAAACATAAAATTCCTAGGATGGTGTCTTTGAATGCTTAACAAATTGCTTATTATTGTCATTATACTTTCACTTAAGTCTACACAGTAGTTTTGAGTATACACTGTGAAAGCTGCCCTTGGTCTCCTGTCTCCGGTCAGTGAAACATCAGTGCATTCCCTGATCTGTTATTTCCCTAAAACAAAGATCACTGAGGTTGGATGTCTTGGCCACCCACTTTGTAGCAAGGGTATGTTGGTATGTCTTAACACCTTCAGTAAATGGTAAAGTCCTGCAGGGAAAAGATCACTGAATCTCCATTTTGTATTCCCCACAGTGCCTGACACTGTTGTTCAGCAAATGTTAATGGAAGAATGAATGAACAAATGACTGACTGGTCCCTCTCCCATTATCAGAGGCAGAATTGACTATTAAGAGCCCATCACTCAGATGCACAAAGGGCCCTGAGACTCCCCTCAAGCGGGTCTCCTGGACCCCGGATGAGTGGTCCATTCTCCTGCTTTCCCCGTCTCCCTCAGGAACAGCCCTGCTCCAAGATGAGGGTGCAAATGCTGCCGGCTGGGGAACTCTTCTCTCTCACTCCTCTCACTTTCAATCACCTTTCTAAGCGCTCCTGCTTAACAAGACTCACCCAAACGCTGGCCACAGCTACAAGATGACAGACACAGCAGCCAGGCAGGCAAGAAGAGAGGCAGCCTCTGGGTGGACAGGACAGGAGGAGCTGGAAGGACTAACGTGGCTAAAGTGACTCAAACTCAATTTAAAAAGACCTGGATGACAGTCAAAAGACAGACCTGAGTTTCCCTTTCGCTTCACAGCCGCCCCCGGTTGTTGCTCCTGAGTGGTTGGAAAACAGAGTGTCAGCCAGAGACAACGCTGAATTTCCTGCTGAACTGTGTGGCATGAGCCCAGCTCTAAGGAAATGGGAACATGTGACGGCATCGGGACCTCTTTAGAGACTCACTTGCCATCTGAGAAGATGTATGTTATTTCTCACCATCTCCTTGATTTCAGTTTCACAGGCTGGAGCATTGTTGGCCCCGCTCTACCTCACACTAGAAACGTTCTAGAAGGAAAATCACAAGGCCTACACTTCCTCTGACAACACATTTGTGAACCTGTTCTGAGAAAATGGTCTTAAAGAAAATGATTTACCTCAGGGCCATCACTGAAATCAAAGACAGAAATCCTTCTCCTGTCTGTAACAGGAAAACCTAAAGCTACAGGATGTAGAAAGGAGTCCTTATTGAGACCTCAGTAGGCATGAGTGCCAGGCCTACCCCAGACCTCACAGGGTCTGAGGCCACCTCACCTAAGTCACTGCATGGATTCAGTAAAGTAATGCCTGCAAAACCCTTGGCCAAGATATAACTGGAAGAGCCAGGGCCCAAACTTGCACTTATTGAGAACAAGGTTCATGTTCACAAGCTGTCTGAGAGCACAAAAATATCACTTCGAGATTGTCCTTCAGGTTTGATCAGTACTTGGCCAGGTTTTCTCCCTTTTGTCTGCACCTTCAAGTCCAAAGCTATTCGACAGGTAGAATGACAGAGGCCAAGAGGCCAGAAGAGAAAGGTTTGGGTATTCTTCTCTCTTTGTCCCTTTCCTCCCTGTTCCCACCAGACACTCTCATGGGTTGTGTTCCCTTATCTAACTATGTGCTTGGTTAGAAGTTCTGAGGGCTAATACTAAAGCACACTGGAATGCAAGGAAACGCCTCCATCCAGAGATAACCTCAAGTCTGTGGTAAGTCAACAACTCTGAGACATTACATGGGGCAATAACTTGACACAGCCGCTGGAACAAGTCATGTAGACCAGCACCGATTGTCACCCCTGCATGATCCCTGCATCCAGTTTCCCATTTTATACCCCACACCAGCCCCAAGATTGAATTAGTTTGTTTGAGACGTAAGCCTATTTGTTTTCCCCTCTGCCAGCTTTTGGAATAAAGACTCTTCCCTTCCACCATCTCTCATCTCCTGAGTTTGGCCTTGGGCGGCAAGTAGCTGAGCTTGCGCCCAGTTACATGTGAGTATCTGGTTTTGTTTGTGAACTCCTCTATGGAGCTTGAGGGTCTCCTTCTGGTCCCCGACGGTCTCAGTCCAAACTTACAGAAAGCCCAAACTCTTAGCAATTTGGGGGTGGGATTGAGTCAAGTGTAGACGAGGGTGAAGGGAAGCAGAAGCATGTTGGTTGAGAGCTCTCAAAACTTCATTAAATAGACAGCAGACGGGCTGGTTGTGCTGGTCTTTTCCTTCCCAACTGCATAAACATACAGGTGTGTTTCAAGGGAAATTAGCCCATCTTCAACTCCACTGCAGAGTTGGACCAAGAGAAGTTTTGTCCATGGTCCAGACCAGGGGCTCACTCCAAGGAGCATAGCCTCCTTAGCTCCCCCAGATTTCTTCCTCCTCCTCAAAGGCAACTGAGGCCTTAGATTGAACCAAAGAGTTTTATACTTTTAGAATAAAGCTTTGACTTTTGTTAACTCTATTTTCCCCAGAATAATTCTTTCAGTTGCTATCAGGCATTTATAACAGAATTTTAGAATATTCATTAAGTCTCTCAACAAATATTCATTAGAATCTATTCTATGCCTGGTGCTGTATTAGTCTGGAATCCTTTCAGAGGACTAGTACTGATAAACAGACACTGTGATGATACAGATTTTGGAAAGAAGACGTAGGTACCAACAACAGAGGAGTAGAGAAATAAGAGGATGGGTCAGATGAAGGGGCAGTGAAATCACAAGGGGCAGGGAGAATCCCAGTTAGGAAGAAATTGGCCCATTCAAAGGAGCTTTTAAGGTTCAGGATTTCTCTCTGAAGCCAAAACAGAGTGGCTCC